GCCCCAGTCGCCCCAGTGCCGCAGCCGCCCGCCCCGCCCCGCGCGCCGCGGTGCGCCCCGCGCGGCGGCCGCTTCCGGGAGGGCTGGGCGACCCTCCCCTTGCAGCTCCTCCAGCCCCTAGGGGTGGGGGGCGCAGGGTGGATCGGGCCCGAGGCGCGGGCCCAGCCGCGGTCCTCCCAGCACCTCGGGCGCTGCACCCGGCCGCGAGTCCTTCTTTCCGGCCGGGTCACTGCCCGGCGCCTCTGCCGAGCCCCTGCACCCCCATTCCGGCCTCGGCCCCGCCGCCAGCCCCCCGCGCTGCCGCGTTCTGGCTCTGGCCGTTCCGAGCTCGGCCTTCCACCCTCTGCCAGGCTGGGTTCCCAGCTGTGCTGCTCTGCGCCATCCATCCCTGCGCGGGGCTCTCGCCCACCAAGGGTCGCACCCCTTAAGCACCGTAGGGCTACCGCGAGTCCCGGCCCTCATCCGCCCAGGCCAGGTTACCCAACCCGCCGGAGGAGGAGCCTGAGAGCGGGGCGACCCGCGCACCCCGCGCGTGATTCCCCCAAAGCTACCCCCGGAATTCCTTTTGGGGCTAGGGTCGCAAGGGAGGCGGCGCAGTTGAGTCCTCTAGTAGGGACTGGGGAGGGCGGGGCGGGGCTGTTCAGAGGCCCTCTCCTTCCCCGACTGCACCCCTGCCGCCGCCCCCAGGGGAGCAAATCTACCTCCCTGTCTCCATCATAATCGGCTCAGCCTGGTCCCACTGACCTTCCCCCCCGCAGCTGAGTCTCTTGGCACCTGGGTGTATGGGGGTGGGGAGGGGAATCCAATCTCCCTTCCCCTCCATCTGGCCTGGTGGACAAAGGGCAGGGGGACCATCTGGTCCTGCCAGGGTGGGGGAGGGCCGTCCCAAGGGTGGGGGAGGGGCGGCGCTCTGGAGACAGCAAGAGCCTGCGGGGTCTAATTGCATCATTTTATTTCACCGACCTCCACTCTCCTCCCCACCCCTCAAACCTCGGAGCAGGAAACAAGCTTGGCTGAGAAAACCCAGGCCTAATAACTTGGGGAGGTGGGGGGCATCCAGAGCTAGGAGGAAAAGCAGGGAAATCTGAGGGCAAAGGGATGGTACTCTCTTTTGTGGGGGGGCAATTCTGATCTGGAGTCAGCTGCAACCTGTGGGTGGATGGAGTTCAGGGTAGGCCATACCCTAAGCCTGGCAGAGGATCTCCTGCAAGTGCTGGCCCCTGGATTCCTTACCTTCCCCGACAGCGGGGTGCTGCATGGTTGGGAGGTCACATATGCCTGTGCAAGTGCTTGTGTGGAAGCACAGGCATGCATGTGTGTCTGTGGATGCAATGCAAAGCTGCACCTGAGCATGCATGCAGTCAGAGGTGCATGGACCTATGTTGTTGGGTCATATTTGGGAACATGGGTAAACATGCTTGTGGGCATGTAGGTATCTGTGGCCTAAGAGGTGGGGTAGGGGCTGCAAAGCAGCCAAAGGAGCAGGTGGCAGGTAGGAGAGGAGGCTGGGCAGAACAGAGGAGAGTACAGCCTAGGAAGGAAAGCCTTATAGCAGAAGCTCATCTAATGGGTTACCCTCTACCAGATCATGTCCCTTGATTCCCGAATTGTTTTCTCTTGATTTCAACTCCTCAGTCTATCACTGCAAGAGAAAGAGAAAAAGACAGACCCCCAAAGACAAGTACCCAGATAGACAGACAGACACACCTGTTGCATGTGCATGATGAGCAGGAACCCATGGAGAGAGAGCCTTGGGCAGGCAAGCAGCCCACCCCATCAGCAGGGCTGGGCCTCATGCTAGCCCCTGCAGGAAATCCAGCAGCCCAGTATGCCACTCCTCAGGCTTGTCAAGGTAACAAGGGTGCCCCGCCCCCTCCATGACCAACACCCGGTGGTTGGGCAGCTGCTTCAGGTGCTCAAAGCTGGTCTGACCCATGGGGTCCTGGTCTCCATATACAATAAGAGCCGAGGTCTAGAAAAAGAAAAGGGAGACAGAGTCAATAGGGACCAGCCACACCAGCCCCAGCCTCCTAGAAATCAGCTCCAGCCCTCCCCATCACTTCAGTCTTTCCCTGGGGATACTCCAAATGAGGGGAGAGATAAGTTGGCCCAGTGGGGTAGAAGGAGCCAGGGGCGTGGATTTATGTCTGTCCTAGCACACAGTTTAGCACAGGGCTTGGCACAATAATTTGCTAAGTGAACCAAAAGGGCAGTGTTGAGTGGTTCAGCTCCTCCCAGAAGCCACCCTTTGGCTACCCGGCCCCCATGTGAGGAAAGGTCCTGGGAGGGACCCTTTCTTGCTCCTGGCAGGGGTTTCTCAGTCTCCCACACAGGTATATACCTTCACACTAGCATAGTCGGCAGCATTGATCTTGTCAGTGCAGATGGGGGCCACTGGCACGTATCCACGGAGCTGGGAGCCAGGGGCGGTGAGGAAGGGCAGGGAGTACATGCCACTCAGCGATGGGCTGATCACAACTGGGGGGCCCAGGTCCAAAGCATCCACCACAGCTGCTAAGAAGCTGCTGGGAACCAGCTCCCCGATAGAGGCAGGGGCTGCTGCTTCCTTAGAGCGCCCCAGACCTGCAGGGATTCAGGTGTGGGAGAGACAAGACAAGGGTGATGAGTGGGAAAACAGGGGAGAAAGGGTCCCTTCCTCCAGGAAGCCCTCCTAGGTCAGTCTGTCTGTGCCAGGGTCCTGCAAAATGCAGTGTGCCCAAATGTATTCCTACAACACTCTAGATTCTGTCAAATCTGTGGCAAGCGTGAGGCACTTCCCTCATGTCTGTGCCCATCTCCCCCAGTAGTACAATGCTCTGGAGAGAATCAGGCTCTGAAGTCAAACATAGCTGAGTCCAAGTCCCAATTTTCCATCTACTATCTATGTGACCTTGGAAAAGTCTCCTCAGCCCTCTAGGCTGCTCAGTTTCCCCGTCTGTTAAAGGGAGATAACAAAAGTATCTGCCATTTAAGACTGTTGTGAAAATTGAGTTAATTACTTAACGGGGCACCTGTGGCAGGGCTAGCAGGGTGAGTGCCTCGAGGACAGTAGCTGAGGGGCTGGCTCTGCACATGTACCTCCCCTCCAATTAGTCCCTACCTTCTCCTAGAAAGATTAGCTAAAGACGTTATCCTTGAAGCTCTGGCCAACTCACTGTCAAAACCAATCCGGTCAGGGCCTGGAGGCCCGCCCTTGGGCACTGAAAACATTACAGCTATGGCCAGTGAGGGGAACAGGTCAGTCATGCCGCCCTTCCACACTTGATACCAGGGGCTGGGGCCTGCCAGTCCAGGTCATGGCGGGCAGCTTGGGGCTGCCCCTGCCTCCCGCAGAACCCAGCTTAGGGCTTTCTACCTGGGATCATGACTAGGGGCTTAGCCACCCACCTGACCCTGCCCTGCCCCCAAAGTTGCCAAGAAACTCAGTCTCACTCCTCAGGGCTTCTAACAGAGCCTATGGTATGGCTCTATCAAAATATTTTACTTCCAATTGGCAGACCACCATTATTATGTGTCAGGCACTGATCACATACTCATATGGATAATCTCATTCCAGTCTCACTAGAGCTAACCCTCAAAAGGAATGTGGTTATCTCCCATTACAGATGAGACAGAAGCTCAGAGACCTAAGACACTGTTCCGGGCAACACAGTTAGAAACAGCTAGGCAGTGTTCAGACCACATCCAGGTTGAGACTAGAGAAGCTCAGAGGCCCTTGCAGTGTGTACTGCGCCCTGTTGAGCTCAGGGCTCAGCCTGGCTAGGTCCTTCCAGTCCCCCAGCCCCCAGCCACGGGTCCCCAATGAGTAAGTCCCCAACCACCTCTGTCCAGAAGCCTGCCTGCCCCAGAAGTACCTGGCAGGTCAACAGCCACAGCTCGGTAGCCAGCCTGGGCCAGCCTGTGCAGTGTGCCCAGGTTCTGCCAGGTCTCAGAGGAGAAGCGGATGCCATGCAACAGCAGAACTGAGAAGCGGGCAGCCTGCCCACCTCCAGGCCGAGCCTCCCGGAAAAAGAGGCTCTGGCCTTGCACCTGGATGGTGCCCTCCTTCTGCTCCACGCCCGCCATACTGCCGCCGTCCTGGTGCAGTGCCTGCAGTTCAAGATCAGGCTGGTGACCCACAGAACAGCCTGCCCAGGTGGAGCAGAAAGACTGCCAGGGAGAGCCCGGGAGTCCCTGGGGAGCAGCAAGGAGGCCTCCAGGAGGCTCCAACCAACTGTAGGAACATGCTTTGGGGGTGAGGAAAACATAGGTGTTATTTCTGCCTCTGACACTCACTTAATCGTAAGGCTTTGAGCTTCAGTTTTCTCATCTGAAATATGGAATATTAAAGACTACGCCAAGAATTAATGAGTTAAAATTTAAAAGAGAATTGTCCCTGGAAAGAACTCAATACATGGGGTTCCCATTACGATTATTGTGCTTATTGTTCTCCTTTTCTACAAATGGTAATACTTAGCTCATAGGTGGTTGAAGGTAGGATTAAATGAAGCCAAGCGTGTAAAACACTCCCAGCAGGCTTAGCACTTAGTACTAAGCAAGTAAGTGCTCAGCCAAAAGTAGCTACCTTGCTTATCAACCTCTTCCTCTTCAAAGGCACTGTTATAGGACGGGAGGTTGGCACTGCAGGCCGGAGGGGGTCACTGTTGGAGTAAAACACCCTGGAAGAGGAAACTGGAGTGCTAAGTGGGGAAAAGGCTTTGGAGCTCCCGCCCGCAAGGGACGCGGAGTGCTCAGCGCGCTGACGCCACGGTCACGGGCACCGTCACCGGCGCCACCACGGCTGACTACGTCCTCTCTGAGGACCTCGGTTCTGGATCGCTGGGCCTGGTAGGGCGCACGCGGAAGGGGTAGGGGCAAAACCAAGGAAAGAGACCAGAGGAAACGAGATCGCAAGGGGAGAAATTTGGGGTAGGTGGGGGTTCTCAGTGGAGAGGGGAAGAGAGGGTCGGGGTCTCAGGGCAAGTACCTGGGGAGCTGCGTGGGCTCGCGCAGATAAGAGGCAGGCGAGTGCAGGCGGCGAATGGGGACCGGGGCGGGGAATCTGGGAAGGGGATGGGGCGGAGAAGCAGGAACGAGGCCTGGCCGAGCGCGGGGGCCGGGCCATGCTCCAGGGCACCCTCTTGTGGCCACAAGCTGCCGCAGGGCCGATCAGTGCTGCTAGATCCATCTTTTCTTCTCACAGCTGCCTCAGTTTCCCCAAGCCCCTCGGTCTCACGTGCCCCAAACACCGGACTGGGTGCAGCCCCGAGGCCCTCGGCGACCTGCCCTGCATGCACATGGCGCGTCTTGAGGAGGAGCTGCTTTGGGGTCGCATCCCTGCTGCTCCCTCCCTCCCCTGTTCCCTCATCCCCAGCCTGTACTGTGAGGGCCCAGAGTTGTGTGCCCAGGCATGCAGTTGAGGCCAGAAGGTTTGAATGCGAGGTTCTGCCAATGTCCAGCCAGGTAGCCTTGGTCATTTTGCCAACGCCTCAGCGGAGCCTCTCTCCTTGCCTGTGGAATGGTTGTGATATTGCCTACCTTGCAGGGTGCCAGTAAAGGAGTGAATCTGCGCCCTCCCGGCAGCCTCTCTGTGCCGGGCCTGGTCGCACGCAGTGCCTGAGCCGGGCGCAAAGCAGACGTCGGTCACACCTCGCCAACCAGGACAGTTGTCATAGAGACGTGAAGGAGCCCAAGGGCCACCATAGCTCTGATTGAGTGAGAACACGCGCGTGCGTGCGTGTGTGTGTGTGTGTGTGTGTGTGTGTGTGTGTGTGTATTTGTAAGGTCAGGGAAGTCTTTGGGCAGAGACCTGGAGCTGCTGCATAACAATATTTGGCACTTACACAACGAGGCCTTGGTGCCAGACACTGTTCTAAGGTTTGACCGGTCCTTAAGTCCTTACGACAGCCCTTATCCGTAAACCCATTTTACAGACGAGAGACTGCGCGAGGGTGGAGATGCTCCTGTGGGTGGCTCTCCCCTGGCTCCCAGGCCGAAAACTATTCTAAAAACCTGGACTGGGGGACTAGGCCTGCGTACTCTGGGGCGCCGCCCCCAGCCTTCT